TCTCTTCACAGGTGCCAAAGCTGAACCCTGGCTGAAGGCACCCCTCTTTGCTCCACAGGTCTTATCACCCATAAAATTCTGTCCTTCCTCTCCATGTTCACATCTGCTTCCCAGAGAACCTAAGTGGCCCAAGAGAAAAGCCCACAGCTATCACATTCCAGAGGAGCCCCTGTGTGCCCTTAGGTGAGATCGCCTCTCTGAGTCTTAGCATACAGAGCTTCATCCTTCTCCTACCTTCTCCTGACTGGCCCAGAGGAGGAGGACCTGGATAAAACACACCGGAGAAATAAGGCGGCAGGAGTGAAGCTTACCAGAAAAAAAGAGCCCCATCAGCGTGGAGTGGATGCATTTGTGGCCACTCTCCTCCTTGGAATTCATACAGCATTCCATTATCAGCTCTGGACAGCAGCTCAGGGACCATCTTGTCCCATGCCCATTTGACAGACGAGAAAGCTGGAGCCCAGAAGGGGGAGCTGAGGGAGCAAAGCCGGAGCTAGAATCTGCCTCCTGACTCAGAGCAGAGCACTGCTCCTTCCTAACCACAGGCAGTGAACCCTGTGAATATGATGCGTTACCTCTACAGATGAGCAGAGTGAGGTGCAGGGCAATTCTGCTGGCCACCTGGATTAACACAGCACTGAGATCCACACCCAGACACTAGCAGCTACCTTTCTTCCCTATGGGCAGAGCAAGTCTGAAATGTGGAGGATACCAGGGCAGACTCCATAGGACAGGACAGCCAAGCCTGGAGTTCCCACTAGCAAGACCTGTTATACCAAGCCCAGGGCTCCTGGGGAGGCAGGCAGTGGGCCACATGAATCTGAAACCTTCTCCAACCCCCCCACAGGGTGGGTGACCTTGTAGTCTTGAACCAGTCATTTTAGCCCCATTTGTAGAATGGGGCATAACAGAGTCTTCTCCCTTGAGGTCATGGTGAGGCTTAGATGAGTGAAGATGTGTAAATTAGTCAACAATTATCAAGTCAAGTTGCTATGTGCCAGGCACCCCTCAAAAGACTTTACATTATCATTTAACCATCAGAGCACCCTTGTGAGGCAGGCCCTATTAATGCCCCCATTTTACAGATGAGGAAACAGAGGTACCAGAGAACCACACAGCTGGGAAGTGGCAGGACATGGACTTGAACTGAAAACAGACTGACTCTGAATCCCTCTAGCTAAAGCCTCTGGTGAGGCCAGCTTCTGTGGAGGGTAAGTGTTTAGAACAGTGCCAGGCACGCAGAGCTGCTCAGTAATGCTGCTGTTGATAGAACAATAATTATTATTGTCGCTGGGGAAACTTGCACCAGCAGTGCTATCTTCCCAAAAGTCAGAAGAACGACTATCCTGACATGTTTTACAAAATTTATCAGTTCTTCTCTATGGAAGGAAGGGAGTAGTTAGCAAGTGCTTGAGATAAATGTTTATTGAACTGAAACATTTTATGGTCTTTTTAGAAAACATGAAAAGACGGAGGGAGAGAAAATTCATAGACCTCTCATCCTCCTTTCACTTTTCTGAGTATGTTTGTTTTTATTTTGGTTCATAGTTGTGAACATGCTATGAGAGATTTCTGGATTCTACATCCTTGACTTAACATAATTCCATGAGCCCTTCCCTCTTATGACAATTTTTAATGACTATAAAATAGTCCATCAAGCAGGTATCTTCTTCATCGACCCCTCTCCATTTTCTCCAGTTTGGGGTTTTTATTCTAGTCTCTGATGCTGCAGCAAACATCCCTGAGATTAAAGTTCTTTACTTATTTAATGTGATTTGGAGAAATTAGTTTCTCATAGTGGACTTTCTGGAACCAGAAGCCAGTGTTGGGTGGGGCGGTGCTGAGGGGACAGAAGGCCCTTCTTGGTGCCCTAGTGATGAAGCTGTGCCAGCCATTGTGTACTTCATCCATGCATCAGGCCTCCCCACCCCATAGGTATTTTTGAACCTCACTTTCTGGGCCAAAGGTTTCTCCTTATCTGCTAGGTGCCCATGCCACCTTCCAACCAGAGGACGGAGACCAGGGATCTTATGCTAAACCCACCACTAGTGCTCTACAAGACGGTGGATGTGTCACTTCTGGGGTGAATTACCTCTCCATCCTGCCCAGCAAGAAGCCCTGATGACAGAAAGCCCAGTCCCAGCTCTGGCCCTAAGCCATGTGAACCTTCAGTGTCTTGTGAAGCCCTCTGGGCTCAGTTTCACTGTCTCTTTGTAGGAAATCGAAATGGTAGAACCATCAGGCAGGCCGGCAGACGTGAGCTCATGGGCACCCAGGTGTCTTACCTACCCCACTGGACTAAGCACTTCTAGAAATCTCAGCTCAGATGTCACCTCTTCCAGGAGACTCTTGCCCACCCTAGCTAGGCAGCACCACTCTCCACCCCCGTGCCTGGTTTTATGTTCCTCGTAGCACTGAGCAACTATTTGAAAGGATATTATTGATATTAGCATTTCCTTCTTTAGTGTCCAGCCACTGTCCCTTGAATGTCACTTCCAAGGAAGCAAGGACTAGGATTGTCACCACTCATTCCACAGAACCCCACAGACATGTGGGGTGCTCCAGGCGCAACGGTACATATAGAAGCCACGTGTATTGAGCACCTACTATATGCCAGGCACCATTCCAAGCCTTTTATATATAGCAACTCTGATGATGCTGCCAAGCCCCTGAGCCCATAGCAGTTATTACTCCCATTTTATAAAGGGGGAAAAGCAAGACACAGAGCAAGAATAACTTGCCCATGATACCACAGCTAGTCAGTAGGGAGCCAGGGTTTCCCACTGCACTTTATAAGTATGCTGAGCCAAACATGGGACAGAGTCTCTGTCCTCACAAAGCTGGGCTAGTCCACAATATAGAAAGTTGGGGTTACTTCCTAGAGGAAGTGATCCCTCAGCTAAGTCCTGAGGACAAACAGGGATGTACTAGGGTGAAATGGAGCAAAGAACAATCTGAACAGTGGAAACACTGTGGAGGCTAAGAGATAAGCCAGGGTTATCATGCCTGAAGATCTAGAAGTGGCTTGTGTGGCTGGAGCAGGGAATACAGGGGTGTGCCATGAGTCAAGGGGTATGGTCATCTCTTTTCACCTCAGGGACTGAGGTTAAAAAAAGTCCAGGGATGGGGCAAAATATGAGGTAATATATAAGTGGGAAGATGGGCAATGCCAGCCCCCTACCACAAGATCATGCAGGGTCTTGGCAAGCTCAAGGGCCCAAATTTTATTCCAAGGTTTTACATCATACCTCAAAGTCTGTGTGAGCCCCTCACACGGTGGTGCCCAAAGGCCACACAAGGGTTTCTGGAAATTTCTGCTGACTCACTGTGGGACCTTGGGCACCTCCATACCCCCTCTCTGGATCTTAGTACCTCAACTGGTATTGATTGACCCAGTCCCAAAAGAACACCCCCACTCCATCAGTCTGGCATCCCATAAACAAAATGCTGTTGTTGACCAATGAGGTCCTGGCATTCCTGGAATCCGATTCTGGGACTCTTGTGCACTGGCCATCCCATACTTGCTGAGGCTGCCCACCACCATGGCACTTTGCCAAGCGGTCTCTGGGCAGGGGGTTGAGTTCTCCTGCTCCTTGTTCCTCCAAGATATAGGTGCTCCCCCAGGTTTTGGCTGGATGGTGGTGGGGGGGGTTCTGCTCAGATCCTCCTGGAGACAAAGGAGCTGACCTGCAAAGAGTTCCAGCGGGAGCCCCGCTCCCCCTCCCTTCCCCCCTCTCCCTTCCCAGTCCACGTGTCTCTATTGTCTGCTCCCCGCTTCAGGGAAAGACACAGCCTCGGATGTGTCAAAACCACCACCCCCCCAGCAGCAGGGAAATTAATTACTGGACGATTTTCACTTCCTCTTGCAGCGCCTGCCTGAGCTAGGCACCGGAATAGGACCGGCTGAGCGGGGCCAGCATCGGGGCCGGCATCCGCATGGGGGACTTGCTGCCCCCTCCAGTTCTGGAAGAAGAAAGTTGAACCCCAAACCCAATACGGGGCTTCAGTGGGAGGTCACGCTGGGGTGAGGGTAACGACTTCCTCTAGTTAAAGCTGAGTGTCCACACTGGCCACTTCTGAATTGGGGGAGAGGGAGAGGACTGGAGGCAGGAGGGTCTCAGCTGGCGAGCTCACACTGTTTTCTTTGCATCCCCTTCCCCGTATCCCCATGTGCCTGAACCCCGCCTGCTTAGACCACTCTCCATCCTCTCCCCTCGGCTTCTGTGTCTACCTTACACTTTTCTTTCCCTTTCTTTGCATCCCTGAGGGGCTTTCTTTTTGTGTGTCTGGATCTCTCTTTTTCTCCCATGGGTGTGTGAGCGTGTGTTGCTACTTCTTTCCATCTCTGTTTTCCTTCTGTTTCTCTCTTGCGTCTTTTTTGTCCTTATCTCAGTCTCTATTTCTATCTCTTTCTGTATGTGTGTCTCTCTTTCTCTGAATGTCTCTTTTTGTCTTTCTCTGTGTATCTCCTCTCTCCTCTCTCTCTCTCTCTCTCTCTCCCCCCCCCCCTTTTTCTCGTCTCTGTATCTCTCGGTGCCTTTCTCGCCCTCACTTTCTCCCCTCCTGCCTGCCCGCTGCTCCCTGCGCCTGGCCTGCCCCCACCGCCGCCGGTTCAGGGGAACGTGTGCGGAGCGATTGTCCTGGGGGACATTTGATGGATTAGAGCGCTGAACAGTTCCATTGCTAGGGGACCACCTGATCTCCTCCAGCCTGCGTCCCATATAAAGCCGGCAGCCGGAGTGCTGAGCACAGCTCCAGCGATCGCCTGTCTGCGCGCCGCCGCCGCCAAGCCCGAGCGGGAGCCCGAGCCAGAGCCGGGGCCGCCGCCACCGGTGCCGGCTCCGCGCTGCCGCCCGCCCGCCTGCCCGCCTGCCCGCCCGCCCGCTGGGAGCTGTCCAGTGCTGAAACCCCGCTCTGACAGCCAATCGCGCCCGGCTGGCCGCCTCCCCCCACCGGGGCCCCACGCAAGTGCCCCCGCCGAGCCCCCCGCCAGTCGCACCATGCCGCGCTCCTTCCTGGTAAAGAAGATCAAAGGGGACGGCTTCCAGTGCAGCGGGGTGCCGGCCCCCACCTACCACCCCTTGGAGACCGCCTACGTGCTGCCTGGCGCCCGGGGGCCGCCCGGGGACAACGGTGAGTAGGACCCGGCGGGGGGGCGGGGGGCGGGGGGGCCAGGGAGGGGAGTTCGGGGCCCTCCCCAACTCGGGCCACGAGGAGGGGTGCGCGCGGCAGGGAACCCCGGGAGGAGATTTCCCTGCCTGTGTGCGCCTCCGGGCTTCCTGAGGGCCGGGCGGGCGGGGCAGGGGCTAGGTCCCTACAAAGGGAAAGTCGCAGGGTCGATCCATCCCACAGCCACGCGCCAGCCCGGACTTTGAAAGTTGTGGCCCTAGAACGGGGCTGGAGTGAGGGGTGGTGAGAGAATGGAAAGAGAGAGAGGCACCCACGAAGGGCTATTGCTGGGGGGCTCATGCACAAGGCAGTCCGAGGGTCCCCTCTCCCTGGTGGAGGGAAGGCGGCTGGCTGTCTGAGTGTACTGCCCTGGTGGGGAATATATTCGAGCCTGGACTACCAGTACCTGGGGAGAGAGGGCTGGCTCCTAGGGTGTAGCTGGGGGTGCCCTCCTTCTCTTCAAGCCTGCTCCCCCTGATGATGCCAGGCAAGTGTTCTCAGGCCCCCCTCTCTCAGCAACTCTTTTGTTACCCTCGGCCACATGCCTGCCAAAGGCTGGGCCTATCCTGGGGACTGCAAGGAAGAAGGGATTTCTAGGAGGGATTCCCCCAAAGTGGCTCCTGGCCCCCTAGGCTGTACTCCCTCCCCACTCCAGCTTCTCATCCCCCCCCCATCAGAGCTAGCCCTGCTGTTCCTTGTAAGTCCCCCACCCCCAACACACTCCATCTCTTCTCAGAGCAAGTTCCTGCAGGGACAAGGGTTTGAGGGACAAGAGAGGTCATTTAGCCTCAGAAGGGGCTGATCTCCGAAGGGTGTGGAGAAGAATCAGAGACTGCTTCTGTAGACCCCATCCCCCATCAAGGGGATCACAAAAGGGTTCTCCTCTCATGGCCCGTACCAGGCAGGTGTCTGGAGAAGAGGCATCCCTTTGGCAGTAAGAAATCTGACATCACATGTGGCATCAGCTTTGGAGTGTGTGTGGGGGGGGGATGGGAGGGATGAGGGAAAAGAGGAGAGGGGAGAGGAGAAAAAGAAGAGAAGAAAGGGCTGAGGATGGGGGGGGGCAGTGCTGAGGTGGTGAAGGCAGGAGCCCCAGAGGGTGGGAGTTTCCACCTTAGGGATTTCCAAGCACTTCACCCACATTCCATCACTCTGTCAAGCCAGGTAGGAAGAGGGCACTGGGCAAAGGGCTCTGTGACCTCATCAAGGTCAAAGAAATTAGGGAGTGATCAAGGGATATGGCTTTAACCCCTAAGCCTCAGGCTTCCCCCAGGTCCCCAAGAAAACCAATCCCCTTTTCCTTTGCCCATATGTCTCTTATTCTGCTGTCCCCTTTTCTTGACCCTGAGCCCTCTTGGGTTCGAGGACAGAGGCCCAGGGATATGGCTGGGCTTGTCTAAAGTGCTGGCAGGACAGAGGGTGGACCTGGGACCATGCCAGGGCTGGGGAGTATGTGTGCTAGGATCTGGGTAGAAACTGAAATGCCTGCAAGACTGGAATGTGGATCCCGTGGGAGACTGACAAAAACAGTCTCCCATCCCTGAGGCCCCCATGGTCCCATGCCCAGGCCAGTTGAGGAAACCCAGGGAAGCCTAGAGAATTTCTCATGCATAGCCCAAACTGCAAACTATTCCTCAAAAGGGAGGCAGGAGTGCCTTGCTTTGAATTCAGTCTCAAAAAAGCTTTGAAAGGAGCCCCTGAGTGAACAGTGGGGTCAGGGCAAAAGTTGGAGCGAAGCTATCAGCAGGGGTGTTCCTGTGGGGGTTTTTGCCACCCTAGAACCACCCCTGTCTTTGGCTCTTTCCCCAAAGGTCTCTAGACCAGCTCCTTGGCCTCCAGAGAATCCTAAGGCTGTCCTGATAGTCTGATATCTGGCCTGGAACTCTGGGAGACTATGGTCTCTGACTCGCTGTGTGACCTTGGGCAAGTGTCTTCCCTTCTCTGGTCCTCTGCCTCCCCAGCAGTGAAAGAGTGGCTGAACTAAGTATCCTTCCAGCTTTGACAAGCTCAGCTTCTGTGAAGGTTAAGTGTGGGATGGGAGGCACTAGAGATGCCTGGAATAAGGGTCTAACAGCACAGGGGCCACTGTCAGGGTTTGTATAGGATTCTGTTTACCACCCAATGCCTGACTAAGGGTGGCAGAGTTTCTGAGAGCAGGTATTTCTTGGCTTCATTCTCTGCAGGATGCCTCAGAGTGAGGACAGGCACCCTGGCCTAACTGCTTTGGCAGCGTATGCAGTAAAGGGTTAGTGCCGGAGACCAGGGGGTGGGTATGGCTGGGAAACACAAGGTCCACCTCATCCTGCTTTCAGGGGCCTCTCCTATCCCTGGGGTGTGGCCAGACTGGACAGTGAAGTCCCCCTCATTCTGTGGGTGGGTAGGGTGCTGGGGGGGTCTCAGCCTGCCCGCTCCTAGTGGCCCGTTGTCTCCGCTCTGCCGGAAATAACCTTGCTGAGCGTTTGAGGGAAGTGTGAAAAATTGCTGAGCCGACGATTTTCTCTCCCAGCGTGTGTAAGTGTGCTGGGTAAACAAGGAGAAAGAGAGGAGGGGGGGAGGTGAGGAGATTGAGGGAGGGAAGGAGGGAGGGAGGAGAAAGGAGGGGGAAGGGGGGAAGGGCCTGGGGCTGGAGATAGTTCCAGTTATTAGAAAGATCCTCTTACAAGCCATTCCTGCAGCAACCGCCCCAGGGTCAGGATAAGGCTGGTGGGAGGGGAGGTTGGGGGAAGGGGTGCAGAGAGGGGGCCTGTGTATGTGGAGGTCAGGAGAACTACAGGCTCCTAACTGATGGAAGATGCAGGGCCCCAAATAAAAGAGGTGTACTTCCAGCTCAGGGAATGCCTGGGAGTGCTAAGGATTCCTGGAGGACTCCTCCTACACACACACACACACACACACACACACACACACACACACAAAGTGATGCTCTTCTTTGCCTCCCTACTCTCTGCTTTTTCAGCCTCTGAGGGCTGGGCAAAGGGTGCGGCAGGTACATCTGGGCTCCAGGCCTCCCCATCCCCCTCAGCCGAAAGAACCCCTACATAGGGAAGGGGAAGCCTCCCAAATGGAAAAATCTCCAGGCCTTTCTGCAGAATGCCTCAAAGAATGGAGAGCAGATTTCATCCCACCATCCTGTCCACTACAATGCCTCATCTCTCCCCCTCCCATTCCTCTTGCTCCTCCACTGCTTTCTGCCTCAATGCAGCCTCCTCCTTCCCCTCCTCTTCCCTGAGTGATTCTGAACACAGATTCAGTTTTCTGAGATGCCAACTCACATCCTCCTAACCCTCTCACAACCTCACCCTCCAGCTCCACCGAGCCCGCTCCTTCACAGGCCCTGGGCCCCCATCCTAGGGAGATCCCAGAGCAGGCTGCTGCTCATCTATCTGCATGGCAGTAGTCTCCATGGACCCCAGCCAAAGAGGTCTTCACTGCCTACCTCCCTCATGCCCCCACACCCTAACTCTGAACTCCAGCTGGGCTCCCTGTCCCCCTTTCTCTGAATCCCCTCCCTAGTCCTGCCCCCATACTCCTTCAGAGTGCATCCGACCCAGGCAGATGAAGGATCAATGCCAATCCAATAACACAGTTGTCTGCCCTCCACAGCTACATTAAGCCTCCCCAGCAGGCCGAGGAAGCACTCCTACTCTTGCCCATGGGCTTATCTAGTTGACCACATTATACCAGCGCCCACTTCCTCTCACTCCCTCTGATGGCGCCGAGGAGTCGCTCCAGGCCAGGCCTGGAAGCCCAGCTGAGAGTCCCCAACACATCCACCCCACACCTCAGAAAGTCCATCTTGAGAGTAGGGATGCAAAAGGGCTGCCCCAATCCCTTGGCAGAGGGAGCTCAGAGAAGGTTGGGGAGATGCCCAAGGACACACAGCAGGGCCATCTGGCTCTTCTTTGACTACCACTTCCCCTGGCATCTCAGTGTTGGTCTAGGTCCAAGATCCAGGTTAGAGACACATCAGAGGTCCAGGTTCAAAGTGCAGGTCCAGTGTCTAGTCTACTGTCCTGGTCCAGATCTGAGATCCAAGCCCAACATCCATGTCCAATCTTAAGTCTAAGATCAGATCCAAGGTCAATGACTGAGGCTATAGGTCCAGTCCGAGATTCAGACCAAATTCACATCCAAGTTCAAATTTCAATGTCTAAGATCAGGTCCAGGTCAATGTGCAGGTTCATGGTCCAGGAGTAAGATCCAGATCAAATTTCTAGTCCAAGGTCATGTCCAGGTCCATTCTCAAGGCCTGCTAGAGTCATGTCTTAGATCCACCATTAGCTTTCTCTGTGGCCTTGGACTAGTCTTCCTCTACCTCAGCCTATTTCCCTTTCATGAACTCAAGCACAGTGGAACTTGATCTCTTTCAGCTCTGACCTTCTAGGGATCCAAAAAATTTGACTTTGCTAAGAATGAATCAGTGGGGGTGTGAAATAACAGGGCCTGTGTAGGATACAGAATCTGGGGCCCATGACCTCCCCAAAAGCCTGAGGTCACAAGGGGAACATGAAGGCCAGAGCTGAGCATCCACTCCTCAAGCAGTCTGTTTGTGGTTCCTAAGGGACAGTAGAAGAGTACATTGAGTCCCTATGTCAGCACAGCAATTTATTACATCCCAAAGACTCCCTGCACCGCCCCCCCAACACACACACACATGCACACACTCACACACACACACACACACTGGGCAAAGGGCAGTGAGCACAGGAGAGGATTAGCTCCAACCTACAAAGGCAAATGAGGCCAGGGAGGCCCGTGACTTGCATGAGGTCACAAGGGCATAAATGGGGGACCGTCGCACCTCCCTGTTGAGTGCTTCATCTCCATGTTCTAGGGTCCCCACAGCCTAGAGGCCCTCTGGGGGGTGACTGAGAGAGATAAGGTCCCCAGAATTCCTGACCTCCCTCCCAGCTGTGATCTCCAGCTGCTAGCCTTTGGGAAGGAAGAGAGGTTGGAATGGGCCC